ATTGACTGGAAATTTATTGACAATTTTCTAGGAATTTGATGAGTAATTTACGGAGAATTTGTTAAGAATTTATTGAAAATTTTCTGAGTAATTTACTGGGAATTTACTCAGTAATTTACTGAGAATTTACTAAGTTATTTATTGAGAATTTATTGAACAATTTACAGAGAATTTATCAGGAACTTAAAAAGTAATTTACCCAAAATTTTGTAGCAACCCTCACCTTACTCTTGCCATACTTACATACATTCATGCATGATCTTGTCTTGTTATGTTGTTTTGCAAGTTTTGCCTTGCCTTGTTTTGTTTAAGTGTTGCTTGCATGATTTTGTTCCTTGCTTGGTGTGTAGCCGAGGTCATCTTGAGCTTAGTTCACCTCTGAACCTTTGAACTTAGAACTGTTTTGGAACCATTTGGTCGACCCCCATCTTCACTTCGGGCATGTTTGCCGAGATGTTTTGCACTTAGTGATCCTTGTCCTTGGGCAGGTATGGCCTAGACCGAGGTGTGGCACACCTCGACCAAGGTGTGGCACAGCTTAGTCAAGTGTCGTCCTCCCTAGCCGATGTCTTTGTTACCCTGTTGCCGAAGCTTTGACTTTAGCCGATGTCATTACTTGCCGATGTGTCTTGCCATCTAGCTTGTTAAATACGCTTTGTCATAGACTTGTCTTATCAATCAGTCACCTTTTGAGTTGAACCAACCCGATAGCGCCACGTGTCTGAGCTGATTGTTAAGACAGCCGGCAGACCTAGAAACAAATCATTGTTGTCTCAAATCTTTGCCTTTAGAGAGAGAAGCTCTAGAGAAAAGAGGAGAAGTTCTTGAGTGAGAATAGATCTTCCAAGCTTGATCTTCGAGGTTTGAACCGTTGGATTCGAGTTTTGAGGTCAGAATCTTAATCTATTTTGGTTGTTGTTGTTGATTATCTAGCTGCATTGCATGATCGAATTTGTTTTGCATGTCATGCATCGATTTGAAGTTGGTTTTGGAAGAGAAAAATAGTATTGATGTGTTCTTGAAGAAAGTCTCGTTTTGATCCGAAAGTTTGGAACCAAGAACCATGTTTTTGTGTTCGTTCTTGCATGATCTTCTTGTATGGGTACTCGTGTCCATGTTTTGAACTCATGGCATGAAATCTCAGATTTTTGTAACAAGTTATGATCTTTGCATTCATCTTCTTCATGATCATGTTCATGCTATTCTTCATATTCTTCAAAGGGAAACCCAGATTTTCCCGACCTTGCTTTTGAATGTAGCCATCGGGACCACACCTCGGCAAGGAGGTGTGGAACCTCGGCAGAGACCTGGTTGGTACCCAGTGTGTTTTCATGAGACGGGAGCAGTGTTTAAACTCCCAGCATGTTTTGCTTTGTTATTGACTTGGATCTGGTGAGAATGCCGGGATCATTTGCATGCATATAAAGCTTGTTTTGAGAATGTGATTGCCATATTTGTTTGATTGTAGGACCTTGATCTTTGCTTGAGCCTACACCGGAGAACAGCGTGAGTGGTATTTCTATAAAGTGCCTATGTTTACTGTTTGAATAAATCTTGCTTTGCTTTGTTTTTGCACGAAAATTATTTGCCAAGCATGAATGAAATAGCGCTGTTTTGATGTATCAAGGATAAGCTTTAGTTTTGATGTCATTCTTGAAAAGTCCCTTGTACTAGAGACTCTTAACTTTTGCAGTACCAAGTTTAAAAGTCCCTCGTGCCTGGAGGGACTCTAAACTTTTCGCAGCACTAAGTATAAAAGATACGGTCCTTTCTTGAAAAGACTATCGTGTTAAAACGGGCTACGGCCTAAGTAACACCAAGGCATCGTAGTTTAAAGTGGAGCTTCGGGCCTAAGTAACACAAGACCATCGTGTTTAAAAAGAGCTACGGGCTTAAGTAACACAAGTCCCTTGTGCCTGGAGGACTATAAAACTTTTCGCAGTACCTTTGGCTAATCGATTACGGATCGTGCAGTCCTTGTTTTGCCACTGACGGTTTACCGCGTGGACTTGTTTGTTCGGAAAGCTTGATTTGTGTTTTGCCGATGCCAGTGAGCATCCCTTGAGACTGTAAGACTTGATATATGAATACGGTTCATCTCTTGTTTTGATTAAAGTTTTGATGTGTTTTGCTTTGAAAAGATCTCGGCTAATATTCGTCTGGTTTTGGCATGTTTTGTTTTGAAAGACTTCGGCTATATTCATGCAAACCTTTATTACTAGTACCATTCACTGAGTATCCAACTCACCCTCTCTATATATATGCAGGTGATGAGCAGGACGTCGGCGACCCTAGAATGTGTTTTTGAAAGACTGTTTTGGATCCTTGATTTTTGTCGGCTTGTATTGTATTCATGTCGGCGATAGCGTTTCTTTTACGTCGGCGAATCTTGAAAATCATGCTTCTTGGCTTGTATTCATGTTCATTTTGTATATGTCGGCTTGAGAAGCCTTTTGATCAAGATGTAACACGTATTTTCAAGGTTTTAAAAAGCGGCCGCAACCGTTACGTAACGCCGTTACGTAACGGTTTTGGCGGTTACCGCCACCCGTTACGGCCGCTTTTGCAGTGTGATTGAGATTCACAAGTGTGTCGGCCGTAGTGGCTGCCATAGCGGTCGTAACGTTCCGTAACAGCCGTAACGGCCTGTTACGCACCGTTATGTAACGGTTCCAAACTGTTTCTTTCGAAAAAACACACAAAAAAAAGTTGAAAATGGGAGAAGAGGGATAGAGAGAAGATGGAAAATAAAGAGAAAATAGAGGAGCAAGAGATAGAGTGAAGAGAGAGAGAGAAGAGGAAAGATGAAGAACATGTTATTGATTTGTTGAAACTATAAGACCTATGCTATCTATTCAGCTGCTATCACTAAACCATTTTGTTTGTGTGTGTCTATCTATATATTGTTTGAAAATAATAATAATAATAAGTGTGGTCATTATCTATTTGGCTTGGTTAAAATATGTAATATATATATATATATATATTTATGCTCCTATTTATTCTCTTACTTTTGTCATTATTTATCTATATATAATAGTTAGTGTATTGGTTTTTGTATAATATGAAGTCATTAATTATTAAAATAAAATGTAAAAAACTCAGTTTATAGTGATTTAAAAATATGAAATATATTGCATCATACTTAAAAATTTATAAAAATTGATCAATATTTATTTTTAACCCAATAAATATGATCATGGAAAAAAAATATGCGTATCGGTAAGTTTTTTTCAAATTGTGCGAAAAATAAAAAAATTCACGATTCCGGTTATCGCAACCGTTACACTACGACCTTTACACCCCACAACCACAACCGCGTCACCGCCACCGTTACGGCGACCGCAACCGCTTTTTAGAACCTTGCGTATTTTGCTTTGTTGTATTCAAGTTGTAAAGATGTATGCCATTTCATTGAACTTATGCACTGCTCTTATAGACCACTTGTATTGTGACTTATTGTTTCCGCATTTGTGAGCCCCGCATACTATACTCTGATTGTGTTAAACTTTTGAAAGTTGGCCTTCGGTAATCTCGGATTACTGGCCATCACGGCACCAAACTACTAGGGGTGGTTTGGGGTCATGACATATATAACACTTTAATTTCATAAAAACATAAACACAGCGTTATATTAGTTCCACAATAGTAACATGTCTTTCTATAATAACGACATACTGTTCTAGAATTTAAACAACCATAAGAAAATTGGTTTCACCATAAGTATTTAGACCATTACAAATTAAAATTAAAAACTAACAAACAAAAGTAATAAAAGAAGATATTATGTAGGTTAAGGTTTGAGTTTATGTTTTATATGGAATAAGAGAAGATACAATGGGGAGGATGTATAATAAAAATATAGACTATTTGTATACGGTTCGGATCGGTTCCAATCTGGAACCGTGGGGTTTAATCCGGAACCAATCCGTGGACTACGGATTTTTAATTCTTTAATCCGGAACCGAACCACGGATTCAAAAAACCAATCCAAACCTATCGAATTGGGAATATTTAAACTATTTTTTAATTAAAAACACAAACAGAATATCTAAACAAATTGAAAATACAAAGTCTTACAAATTATTAGGGGTGCTCGCAGTTTGACGGTTCAGTTGCGGTCAAATGAATCTCAAATTTGCTATTCGTCCAAAACTAGGTGAATTGAAAAAAATCAATTCACAACCGTTCGCTTGTCATCATGTATCCATTCAAAATACGACGGATCAGTTCGGTCCAGTCAGTTTGGGCGAATCAAAATATCCGCTGTTCACCCCTAATTGATGCATGTAGCATGACAAAAAATTTAAACAGGCTAAAAACTCAAGCCCAACATGTAGTCTTATAAGCTAAGCCTTATTGGGCTGGGCTAAAAAATTGTGATTTAGCGATTTAGTTGCGGTCAAAAGAATCTTAAATTTGTCATTTGTCTAAAATTAGGCAGATTAAAAAAAATCAATTCGCAACCGCTCACTCGTCATCATGCATCCGTCCAAAATATGATAGATCAATTCGGTCCAGCTAGTTTGGACGAATCAAAATATCCGCTGCTCTAATTGATGCATTTAGGAGGACAAAAAATTTGAACAGGCTAAAAACTTAAGCCCAGCATATAGGCCCAGTTTGGTAGAGCTGTGGGAAAGTACTTATAACTTATACCTTAACCGCTTATACCTTATAATTATGAACATAAACTGATTTCTGACTTATAAATTAAGCTTCACCTACCCTACTCAACGAATAAGTTGATTTCTGAATTACAAAAAGTTATAAGTTGTATTGTTAAATTAAACCAAACGCATCAAAATAACTTAAATTAAACTGAAAGCTAAAATAAACTGAAATTAAACTATACCAAACAGGGCCATAGTCTTACAAGCTAAGCCTTATTGGGCTGGGCTACAATGGGCTGAGCGACCAGCGAGCCCATCACGAATCGACTCTCTCTCTCTCTCTCTCTCTCTCTCTATATATATATATATATGTATGTATGCAAAACCCTAGATCCCCTATAGATCTACTGAATCGTTTGGGGAGCGATCGACATGAATGAGAAGTGGAGAGCTTGAATCTGCTGAAGTCGGTCCAGATCTCCTGCCGATTCTCCTTCGATCTTCACCGTCCATCGTTTTCTGTCGCAGATGATTTTGGCATCGTCACCAAAGTCCTTCTATCTCCTCCGTTTGGTTTCCGAGAAACCAGATGGAAATGGAATTTTTTTTTTTCTCGACAACCAAACGGCATTGTTGGAGAAAGATATAGATTTTGGGGATGATGCCAACATTTGCGACAGGTGGTGATGGAGAAATGGAGATCAGAGGCGTTTCGGGAAAATCAATTTTGAATTTGACTTCATCAGGTTCTTCCTCTTCCTCTTCTGTTTTTCTCTCTTGACGGATTAGCAGGTAATTTTGATATCTTTTGATTTTTTTTATGTATGTTAATTTCTAGAAGTACTATATTTGATTGATTTTGGTTCAACGGAATGAAAACAATTCATATTTATATTTCTGAAACGATTGTCTATGAATTTTGAAATCTATATGTCTATTTGGTAGTGAACTTGTAGATTGTATGCAACAAAGTGTCAAAACTCTGTTTAGGGTTCTTAAGTGAGTGCTGTTTACAGGACAATGCACATATACATGTACATATATAGAGAACAATCAACAATGTTGGAGGCTTTTAAAAATGTACTTCTATTTGTATCGAACCAGACACGAGGATTTAACCCACCAACCTTATGTCTGGTTTGCTGCAAATGGGTGTTGTGCAGGGATGGACCCAGTGGGGCTTGCAGGGGCAATCCGCCCCATAAATTTGAGAAAATCCCCCCTCAAATATAGTAGTTTTAGGAATGAATTTTTTTAATTTATATAGGTTTGTTTTTTTTCTTTTTTTAATGAAAATTTAAGATCTATGATTTTTAATGAAAATTTAAGATCTATGAAGCACGGACACTGATACGGACACAGGAGGGGACACGGTAAAAAATGGGGACACGGACACGGGAGGGGACACGGTAAATTTTTTTTTTAATAAATATTTTTATTTTAATATACATTAATTATTTTATTTATTTATTTTCTTTTTTAAATAATGTGTTTTTGATAAATTTTCATTTTATTTTATTTTATATACATTTATTTTTTTTATTAATATGTAAAAATCAGTATATATTATGTTTATTTTTTTTTATTAATATGTATAAGTAAGTGTATATTATGTTATATATACTTACAAAATAATATGATTTTATTAATATTATTAATATTAATATGATTTTATATATATTATCTTTTATATACTTATATATATATATTTAATATAAGAGATAAGAAAGAAAGCTGGACAGAGCCAGCAAAGAGAGAGAGACAGAGCGAGAGGGAGAGACAGAGACGCGAGACAGATGCGAGCGAGAGGGAGAGACAGGGACACGAGACAGATGCGAGCGAGAGAGAGAGAGAGAGAAGAGGAGTCGAAGGTTTGTCTTCTCAACTGGATGTTCGACGACGAAGACGACTGGAGTCGAAGGTTCGATTGATGCTTCGAGTCAACTGGATGTTTGACGACGACGACGAAGGTTCGATCGATACATCGAGTCAACTGGATGTTCGACGATGACGACGACGATGATTGGAGTCGAAGGTTTGTCTTCTCACTCTCTTCCTTCACACTCTCTCTCCTCTGTCTCTCTCCTCGCCGTGTCTAGATCTGGACACGTGCGTGTCCCCCGGCGTGTCCCATACAAAAAAATAATTAAGTTAAAGGGACACGCCATCTGGCGTGTCCCGTACGTGTTCCCGGCGTGTCCCCGTATCTGATACCGCCATGACGCCGATTTTGTCGTATCCATGGTTCATAGTTTAAGATTATTTGACTTTTTATTTTTAAGTAACATATGGTTAGACACTTTGACTTTGCCTTGTTTCGGAAAAAACACAGATCATATACCACTCAAATAAATAAGTGGCTTATTGTTAATTTCTCATCAACATTTCGTTGAACCTCCACTTTAGCTATAAATTGAAGAATTGAATAAGTGGGCACTTCTTCATTGGTTCTTTAAGAATTGAAGATATTTGTAGAATTGAACAATCAGCTTAAGAAGAATGCAATTGAGTTACTTGTTCTTAGCTCTAGGCTCTGCTTTAGATACTAGGGATGGTTATAAGTCTTTTAAAATTGAAAATATTTGCAAGTTTGCAAATAAATTTTATCTCAATGACTTCACTGAGCAAGAAAATTAAATTTGAAATTTCAATTGCAAAATTACGAGATTGGTGTGCTTAAACATTGCTAGGGGTGGCAATACTAGCCCATACCCATGAAACTGACCATTAATAACCATCGTCAAATCGTCCAAACCTGCCAAAATTGTTTAGTGGATTGTAATTTGGTTACACAAATGAGCTCTCGCTTAATATGTGTGTTGGAAATGGGTGCTTGTAAGTTGTTGGCTTGGTTAGGGGTGGAACAAAAATTGTGACCTCGAAACCAATTTGTTTTAGCTATACGACGCTAACCACTAAACCATGGCTTGTATTGTTTTTATAAGATATTTTTCTTATACACACCATTTGAGTAGAATTTCTAGTTTTTACAAGATATCTCTTCTTATTTTATGTTTTTTTCTAATTATGTGGGCTGTTTCTTTTTGTGGGCTTTTTCTTTTTGTGTTGCTTTGTCTTTTGGAAATTTTTGATATTAAAAAGAAAGCTAAAATATTATTTTTGTGTTTCAACTATTTTTTGTACACGCGTGTTTCGACAATGCAATTCTTATTGCTTGCTTTCTATTTATGTTAAAATCTTTTGATAACAGAGATCTATCTCAAGATACAATTTTTGAAAAAAAAATTTAAAATTTTGTTTGGTTCAAATTTTTTGAAAAAATTTCAAAAATCATTCTCTCCTACACATCAATTAATCACTTTTCTCTCTCTTCTCTCTCCTTGTCAATCACTTTTTTTTTTCCACACATCTACTCAACTACAACAAAATATCAAATCATCCCAAACTCCCAAATTTCAAAATTATTTTCAAAATATATAACCAAACAAATCAAAAAAATTTCTAAACTCTCTCCCCCAAATTTTTTTTAAAAATTTATCTCAAAACACAAACCAAACACACCCCGAATATCTCCTTTTCTTTTTTACTTGATTTTTGTCTTTCTTTTGCTTCTTATATACACCGTTTGAGTATATAATTTTTTAGTTTTTCAAGTTTTTACAAGATATCTCTTCTTGTTTTCTAATTATTTGGGCCTTTTCTTTTATTTTCTTTTGCAAATTCTTGATATTAAAGAAACCTAATATTTCTTTGGATATCAGAGATATCTAAGACCTCTTTATCTTTTTCTTTTTCTTTTTTCCTCTATTTTTCTTGTTAAATATACCCTTCGAGTATAGAATTTCTAGTTTTTCAAGTTTTTATAAGATATCACTTCTTTTTGTCTTCTTTTCTAATTATATGGGCCTTTTTTTATTTCCTTTTCTTTTGGAAATTCTTGATATTAAAAAGAAAGCTAACATATTATTCTTTGTGTTTCATCTATTTGTTTCTTTCAACTATGTAATCCTTATTGTTTCCTTCAATTTATGTTAAATTCCTTTGATATTAAGGCATCTCCAACGATGCATTATTTTTTTCACCAAATTTGAGTAAAAACTCTCTTTGATATTGTCTGCTCCAATGGAGGGATTTGACTTTTATCAAACCACCAGTCAACCGAGAGGACGACCAAGTGATCGACCGGCCGATCGACTGACCAATGTAAAATTTTCACCAATTGAGAGGTCATCCAGGAGGTCGACTACCTAGTGAAAAAATTTCACAAAATTTTGCCTTGAGGTGGTGATCCGGGAGGACCACCGGGGGAGACATCTGGTGGTGAAAATACAACAGTAATGAACAATAATTTGAAGAAAGGCACAAAGCATCCTCAGTTTGGTGAACATTTTTTATATTCTCAATTTGATATATGTTTGATGATATCATTGGAGTACAAAAAAAAGTACTTTTTCACCAAATTTGAATTTGGTGATGGATTTGATGTAGCGTTCGAGATCTAAGATTTCTTTTTCCTTTTGACTTTATTTGTGTCTTTCTTTTGCCTCTATTTTTCTACTTTTATATACCATTTGAGTATAGAATTTCATGTTGTTACAAGATATCTTTTCTTATTTTCTAATTATATAATCCTTTTCTTCTTTATTTCTCTGTCTTTCAGAAATTCTTGATATTAGAAAAAGCTAAAATATTATTCTTTTTGTGTTTCAACTATGAAATCCTTATTGTTTCCTTTCAGTTTACTTTAAATTCTTTTGATTTCACAGATCTAAGATCTCTTTTGCTTTTTGAATTTGTTTTTGTTTATATTTTTCCTTTTTCTTTTTATTTACTTAAAATATAAAATGCATGTGTAATACATGTACATTATATGTAAAAATGTATGTATATTTATGATAATAAATCCTAGCTTCTTTTTTTCTCCCTTGTAGGAATACATGACCATTTATGTATATATAATGTATACAAATCACATGTAAAAGATTGTTCAAAAAAAAAATCATATGTAAAAGAAAGATGCCTAGACAGTTAAAATAGAGTTCAAAAGTTGAACAGATAAGCTTGGTTTGTGTTTGATTGACCACTTAACTTGTTGACATAAATTGAACCCAATCCGAACCTCCCAAAACATTGCTCCCCCAAAAAAATCACCAAAATATATAGTAACTGTTTCCTTGTATCACCTTCTTTAGGAGAGTGGGCCAAAGCCATCTCTTATTATATCCAACAATTACTCTATGAATACCAAACCTACAGTGACAAAACCCTTGGGGGAAAAAAAGTTGTTTTCCTCAAATATTAGTTCCCCCAAGCAACTCGTCAATGTGGTGATTCATGGGTAATAATAATGGGTGTTTAAGAAATTTTAGTGTTGTTTCTCTCACTGAAACCAAGAAAAAAGTGAGTAGGAGAAACACAATTACAAGAGAGATTTTATTTATGATCTTGCCATACAAGTATTTTGTTTATTGTGATCTTGAATTTTTTTTAATGCCTATATCTGTTTGGTAGTGTAGCAAGTGTCATAATTTTTTTACACAGTAATTTCACTCAAATATTAACCTTGAGGTTCTTTAAAACATGCAACCATAGTTCACACGCACAAACTCCAAATTTTTATAAATTTATAATAGAGATTAACTTACTGTTATGGTGACAAGTATAGATGGAAATCAATTGTGTTGTTGGGATACAAACTTGACCAGCCTTATTATTATTATTATTATTTTATGGTTTTCATGCTTGGAGTTTACATGGACATGGCACCTTATCATTCCAGCTGTTGACTTGTTTTTTGATGGACTAGTCCATTGAAAAAATGTTATTGCCTATATTTTGCAAGCGATAGTGCTCTTTAAATTCTCAATTGAGTTTGGTGTTCAATTATGTATGATATGATTGTCATTATGATTTCATCATCTATTGCTAAGAAGCATGGACACGGACATGGGACACAGACATGCCGACACGTTAATTTTCAAAAAAAGAAGGGCACGACATGTGGGGGACACGCATAAAATATGTAATTTTATATATTTATTATATGTTATATATATTAATATATCATTCAAAGATAATAAAAAAATGTAATATAACACCAATTCTTATAAATTTATATGGTTTTGTTTTATTATTGTATCTTAAGTTATTTTGTTTAAACTTATAATTAGTTTCACATGTGTTCAATCGATAGATATGTGTGTTTATGTGATTGACATGTGTGCCCTTCAAGTGTCCAAAGAATATCTGGGTCTTTAAAAAAATTTAAAAATTAGGACACGTTTTGAAGAGTGTCAGACACGTATCCTAAGAGTGTCCAAAGAGTGTCGGTGTCCGACACGGACACGACGCAGATACGTCACCTTCTTAGAAGTGTCCGTGCTTCTTAGATCTATTATTTCATGTAAGATGTCCATCAATAGTATAATAGTCATAACAAGTCATATTACGAGTGTATCCTAAACTTTTTCCGCTAGTTCGTGTGGATGGTACGAATTAATTCATTTATGTTTTTATATACTAGTAAGTTTGGTTGATAATTGCTTTCATAATGTGATTTATTTTTGACTGATTGGGTGGTTGAGGCTTGTTTTTAATAGCTGGAAAAAAGAAAGATGAGAAAAAGTGGTCTTATATACAAAAGCTAGTAAAAACAAAAGCATAAAGGTGTTATAACGACTTTGTAATGGTGGTTACATAACATTAGCTGCCATTACGGTTGTGAATTTGTCACACTGCTATAGCCACGGCCATGGCAGGTGACTTAACCACTGAAACTATTTTGTAAATCCGTTGTTATAACAGTTGCTTTGAATTTTTAATACCTCGAATAGAAGTGACAGTATACCTATCATGTTTGCAAAATTACCTCCCTAAATATGTAGATTACCAGACTTGAAATCTCAAGAAATTTACCTAAAAAATTTACTCCCATGAAAAATTAAGTCTTGTAGCAGAGAGAGAGAGCTTTTGTTATGGATCTAAATGAACTTTTTTCCTTAGACCGATTTTGCTATCCTCCTACTTTGGATCCACTATTGGTTTCATTGTAACTGTTGTTTTATTTCTATCATCTTCTCTTGTCACTACTCTCTCTCTCTCTCTCTCTCCCTCCACCTTGTGTAACTACTGTTGTTTTATTTCTATTTTCTTTTCGTAGCACATTCTAACATTCATCTCTCCTATCTGAATAACTGGATTTTGCTGGGATTGGTCCGATAAATTGTAGAATTGTCAATCTCATCTCCTTTTGCATGTTCATGCTCTATGCTTAATGATGGGAAATGGGCACCATTGTAACAGATAAGTGAAACAACCTTGATTTGTGTATGTATCAAAACCTTTGCTATGCTTTGGTAGTGTCCCCCCTGTTGAACCCCCCCCCCCCAAAAAAAAAAATAAATAAATAAATAAATAGAATGCTTGTTCCATAAACAAGACGAGAAAGAACAAGAAAATGAGAAGCCGGTTAAATTATATGCTACTTTGTACTAATTAGTATACTAACTAGTGTATCAATTGATAATATGACATAATTTAAGAGATTTTTCATATTTGTAATGTGATTAATGAGTGGGGTCAATAATAATATCATAACTAGTGTTGGTACACTAATTAATACAAGTAACACCACCATTTTCTACTATGCTGCCAACTCCACCTAACGTGCCACATTATTTAGTATCATCAATATGAGCTTTTGAAAAAGAATTTAAGATGGTAGATAGGCCGTTGAAAATGAACTCAAAATTTGGTACGACGTATTGGTGGTTTAACCATCATTCAGTGTCTCCATCTAAAATGTAGAAAATGATCTGACTCTGCAGACCCATAATAGCACCATTTGGATTTGAAACTTATTCAAATTTGTTTTATTTATTTATTGGAACGGATGATCTAGGGTTCACGATGGTTCACATTCTTGCCTTTTCTTGATTGATGGTTTTTAAATGTATACCTTTTTGCCATTCTTTTGATAATTTGTATTTGCATGAAATATCAGTCCTGACTTAAGTTGCTCTCATTTTCCCTTGTAACTTAGGTTAAGTTTGGGAAGATAGAAAAAAGTTAAAAAATCAAAAAGTTGTTCAAAAAGTTAAAAAATTAATACTATTCACCAAAAGTCAACAATTACGGCTGCACAACTCTCAATCCTAATTTTTTTTTATAAATCAATTTTTTAATATACATTTTTTTGTAAAAAGTCAAAAAGTTAATCTAAACATCTATATTTTTTTCTCAATTTTTTAATCTAAAAAGACAAAAGGGGTACTTATTTAAGACATCCCAAACAATAATTTATTATTGAGTGTCGCCATTGCCTACTTGTGAAAAACAAGGACAAATTTACATTAAGGTCTCATTTGGTAATATCATTTTTTGGCTTTAAAATAAAAAAGTTGTTAAAAAAATTAAAAAGTCAACAATTTATATCAAAAAGTCAAAAATTTTATTTTATCTCAAACATATTGTTATTTTTACCTCATATTTTAGTCAAAATTATTAAAATAACATGTTTTCAAATAGGCCTAAAAAAGGTAAAAACAAAAAATCAAAATCCATGATTCCCTACAATTTGTTTGTATATGACCTCTTGTTTTTCAAAATGTAGAAGAGATGGATTCCTTGAAAGCTACACAGGTAAACAATTCAAGAGAGGGTGCATTAAGTTTTTAAATAAATTGTTAAATTAAAATTTAACATAAATAATAAATAAATAAAAATGCTCAACACTATAAAATAGAGTAATGAAATAAAATGAGTAAAGGGAAGAAAAAACAAACTCTACAATTTATAGTGATTTGGCATAATAGGGCTTACGTTCACTTCTCAAGTTCCTCTTTGAAAATTCTCTACTATTCTTCAAATAGTAACTACACCATTAGTTTCACGGGTGTTAGTGAACTTTTACAATAAGTGACCAACTTCAATCACTCCAACCAACTAGTTTAGAATCCAATACCTAGTAACACCTCATCATGTGATTTTATTTCAAAAATCACTCACAAAAACTCTCTTTTTTACAAGAATAAAGATGATAGAAAATCCTTTTACAATTTTATTCAAACTCTCAACAAATTTTCTCTCAAAAGAAATAATAAATCACTAAAAACATACAACACAATATTTGAGAATACTTCAATATCATAGATTTTTCTCTTCTCCACTTTTTTTTTTTTCAAGCAAAATATTTCTTTTATAGCTAAAAAATATATCCATTAGAGAAGGGAGACGCTCCTCTTCTAACTTTTGCACGCTGCTCAGATCACGGGGAGGCGGTTGAACGTTCCACCTACTTTAACTTTTTCTATTTCAAATTGCGGGAGAAGTTTCAAATTATAGACAAAAAGTTGCTTTCGATGAATAGTAAAATTTGAAGTTACAAGTCAAAAGTCACTTTTGATGAATAGTAAAATACTATTTACAAATTTTATTACAACTTATATGATGCACAGTAAACTTACTATTCTTATTTCAAATTATACCCAATAACTTACAATATATTCAAAGAATGAGTAGTGCTCAATTTATCATAAATAGTAATTTATTTGATTTGATGACTATTACTCTTATATGCATCACGTTAATATGTTATAGACAAAAACATATCTTTGCAAATAATTATATCTAATTTTGTATCAAAAATATAAAGAGCAAATATTAAATAAATTCATAATTTGTCCAAAATAGTTTAGACATCATCAAAATCAAATCATTGGAATAACAATCTCTCCATTTTTTATGATGGCAATTTAGTATAGATTTGATACAAGATCAAAATCATCCATTAATATCATTTGAATTTTTGCAACATCAAATATTTGATAATTAAAGTTCAAACTCATGTTTTTCTCCCCCTTTGACATTATCAAAGCATTATAGACAATGAAGAGTTTTTGTGCCCAAAACAAATATATAGGAACACATTTGATCAATTTTTCAGAGATATATCAAATAATCTAATTTGACAAAAAAAAATGTAATAGTATTTCTTATTTCTCCCCCGTGATCATTGCCGAGATTTGTTATTGTTGGCGGTAAAAAAGATTATGCAGCGACACCTAAGATGTTGACTAACAAAAGATTTGAGTCCGCTAAATTAATTGGGCCCAATAGCCCGAGATTGGTGGGCCCGAATTTATCGCCATCAAACGGGCCGAATCACTCTAAGCGTCGAAAGGGCTCGGATCCACGAACTTAGAGACTTACTTGGGCCCGGACTCGAAAGGATTTTGAGCAAGCCTACAGATCCGAGGCACTCGGACTCGAAAGGATTCGGACCCACGAATCTAGAGATCCAAAGTACTTGACTTCAAACGGATTCAGACGCAATCTAGAAGTCGCTCCGTTAATGAGTCCCAGAACACTTGCGGGCTCGGAGCTTTTCGGGATCTACGCACCAGAACCATGGGCGTAATGAAGTTCGAAAAAAGGACCCGATCCCAAGGACGGTGAGTAGAGATAAATTCACTCTTCGGTTAAACTAGCCTATACCCAGGTTGAGGTGGCACGATCTAGGGGGTCCCTGAGACTCGGCAATATTTGCGGCAGGGCGTTCTCTTGAACTACCCCTGACCCTTATGCGACAGGACATCCTCTGGGACTACCCCTGACCCTCTGGGATGATTGGGGCTCATTGGTTAGGTGTGGCTAAGAAGAAGGGTTCGCCGAGGGGTTGACCTCCTCTTCGGGATTTTTCTCATCCTCGGAGAGGTCACCTCCTCGGACACAGTGGTTAGAGAGGATATTCCCCATGTGCCTTGCAAATGGGCTCCATCCTACATCATGAGGTGCCTATAAATAGCACCCACCCATAGATTTACAAGGGATGGATTTTGGAGAATTAATTCTTGGGAAAGAACTAATTTCCCCTTCTCCATTATCAACCTTGAGAGTGAAAGTGGGAGATCCATGGGAGAGCCTTGCCATTATTCTCTTTCTAGTTACTTTGCCTTCTTCTTCACCCAATCTCTAATCTCCATCATCTCCTTTACTCTTGTGTTCTTAAGTTGAGACTATTGAAGAATCTAAGCCTCTCATCATCTTCTAGAGAATTCGAAGTTGTTCTTCAAGGATCTTCGAAGATCTTTGAATTTTCCCACGACGTTCTTGAACCCTCTTATACACAAGTGTTTTTAGTTAAAAAAAGAAATTGTTTACAATCTGTGTAATCATGTCATTCCTTACCTTGTTCATTAATGGTTCTGACTTAAATAAGGTGCCTAAGATTCAGGCAAATAAAAGGT